GAGCTCCTTGGTGAGCTACCGAGCTCACGGGGTATGCCGTTAATGGTTCTCGGTGGGCGTCTTATAGGTTGCCAAGTCGGCTAGGTTGGATCATGTGCTAGGCTGATCCGGCCAGGTTGCACAGGCCGCGCCAGGTCGCGCCCGGCCAGCCAGACCGGTGCCCGAGTGGGACACCAACTTGGTAAATTGTTTGCTTGGGTGTTTGCCTAGTTGTCACGAGGTACCACGTGTCACAATTTCACTGGAAGGCCAAATCTGCCCTCATCACCCAACAATAACAACTCAAATTAATAGATACTTGTTCACAATCTCTATGCATGTTGACATAGATACATCTTTTTGACATTATTCTTCCATTTTTCTTTCTCTCTAGTTCTCCCCAAACTCGGCCCATCATGCATCTTGCACATGAAATATGAGCCTAGGGTCAGCCTATTTGATCTTCCAAGCAAATAACTTCGAGAATACTTATTAAATATATAAACCATTTTGTAGGGGTTGTGAGACAAGACTTGGATAGACCTACTTAATCTCACCTTTTGATGCTTTGTTTGTCTATTTGCAGCTTATAAAAAATATCATCCAATTGGTAACCAATAATTTGGTATTCATTCAAATTCGTGTGGGTTTTTGATTGCTTAAAGCTTTCCAATATCAAACATTCAAACAAAAGCCCAAAACCCAACAAAATTACAGGCCGGGCTAGAAATGATCATTATACATTCTTTAACTAGAAAGCTTCCCCTACATTTTGACTGATATAAAAACCTCCCTCATGTTCTAAATAAAAATGCAGTTAATCATCTCTCAATAGAGGAACTGAAATTTTGATTTATGCATGCCTTTGTTATTGTTTTAACAATTGAAAAATATGGAATTGCTCTAGCCAGTAGCCACTAGTTTTCGGGTCAACAATTCGATCGTCTGGTTTGAATAAATCAATCTGTTATATTTTATAAAATAAAAAATATAATTAAAATAAAAATGATTCAAAATCCATTCGGACCAACAAACGGCTTAGTGGTTCAATCGTTTGGATCAACAATTTATTGACTAAGTCAACGACTTTTAGAAAATTCTGAGTTAGATATAAAATGGAATCAAATGACTTGTTCTGGGTCAAAATGTCGACCGCCAAGGTGAACCATAGTTTTAAAATTAAAACCATGGTTATGGAATATGGTGTTTTTAGTGGAGCTGGTTTTGATAACGCTATGAGTGGAGATTTAATTTCAACCCTAACTTGGTATTAAGGCTCAGTTTGTAAGGAGTACAAATGCATATTTGTAGAGTGTGAATATATACAAAAATAATACAAAATACAAGGTTTTACACTCTACAAATTTGTATTTGTACTCCTTCCAAACAGAGCCTAAGCAAACAATGAACCCACTTAAATAAAGTAAATCTATCTTTGTGGGGTAATTCAATAAATCTTTTTCGCAATAAAACTTTTTTATGGGCAAAAATGGGTTTTTCGAAAAAATTAAAGCATTAGATTATTTTTTTTTAAATTTTTATGAAGGAAATTAACGGAGGGGATTGTCTAAACGTCTTTAAAAATGAAGAGGTTTTTGTAGTTTTGGGAGGTTTAAGTATTTATCAGAAAAAACATAAACATAAGGGAGGTTTAAGTAATTGTCCTTAAAAATATGGTATTAACGTAAATTCGTAACTATGACATCACTGTCCTTCAAGGTTCAGCAAATACAAGTCTTCTTCCATAATTTTCTCCCCACTGAACTGAAAGTCGATTCCTCCTTCACTTCTGCCTTTTCTCGCTTCTTCCAGTTCTTCCACCTCCGGTATGCAATGGATCAAAATCAGAGAACGCCCAGGCCTTATCAGTTCCATCCTGCCAGAACTGCCATTATCGATCTCTTCAACCTCTACTTAGGGGTAACTTTGGCACTTCTTTAACCTCTGTTTCGTTCCTCTTTTTTCTTCCCCAACTTTCTCTGCTTATCTCCACTTTCTAATGTTCACCTTTTTTTAATTGCTATTCCAGAGAAGTTCTCGCCAGAAGTCGGAAGAGCCGATACGAGAACCCCCGTAAGCTTCTCAACTTCGTGCTTAAGTTATGCTACAGTATTGGCTTATATGCGCAGTGAATTATTTGGAATTTTTGTCTACAATTTATGGTTCAAATGGCAGAGGTTCCCATTAACATGATTTTACTGTTTTATGTGGTTGAGTGCATCGCCCAGTGGGAATTGGGAAGTGCTTTTTTGTGCTAGATATTTTGTTGCTTGTCACTCATCTTTTAACTCAAGTTCGTTTTTGTAGTTTAAGTGGTAGATAAACTCTTTTTTTGTTTTCTGATCGAGCCTTCTTTTTCCGGTAGTCAACATGGATGCTTTAAACCTTATTAGTTAATACTAACCATTTGAGGATTAGCCTGTAACACAATTATACTGCAACCTGTGGTGTGCGACTGGTTTAGATATGTGACTATTAATTTTCTCATTACCCCGTGACTCCTCAAGGTGGGTGGATTCTTTTGTTGCTGATACAAATTCAATTGTTGTTGCTTCACGAGTTATGTTCATTCACATATTTAGGTAGCTATCTTTATGTTACATTATGCATTTTATTTAGGTATGTAAGAGGTTATAACTTTCTATAGTTGATATTACTTGAGCGAATTTGAAAGAGAAGTGAGGCATAGGGCTGACCTGGATTTGGTAAGTGGAAATGCAGCCAATCTAGAAGGTCCCTGTCTGAAGGATGGTCTGGTTTAGCCACATTGTCTGTCCCATCTTGCAGAAATAGGGAAGGTCATTCAGAGAAGAAAGTGTAATTGATAGTTTTCTATATTATGATGAAATTGGAAGTAGAAAAAGCTTATGACTCGGTGCATATACAAAAAGGGAGAAAACGAAATTCAATTTTTACCAGGGCTTATAGGAGAGCCCCTATGCAAAATGAAATAAATAGCCCTTATTTGGGCAAAGAGAAACCCAAATAAGGCTCACCCTTGCCGTTTCTTCCCCTAATAGACTATCATAAATGGAATTGGTTGATTTCACTTTCTAGTGGAAAAAGGGGTTCACTAGTAAGATCTGGCCTCTCAAATCAGATGGCATAGTTTCTGGGGATCACAATCCTAGCTACCATGATCTGTCCATCATCTGACCTTTAACAATCAGAGAATCTCCTTAAGTAAGGATCCTTTGATAGCCCCTTGAATAAGGGGATTACGGACTTGACATTTGTGGCATTGCTTTTCCACTCAGAGTAGAAAGTTTCACTTGTGGTGCTTAGGATAATAACTCAACTTACTTAAAATGGCCTTTGCCAAGTTATACTGAATATGCTAGGAGAATCACATCTTTAACATTCTTGAATAGCCCCACTTATCACAGAAGTTATCATAATAACAAAAAGCCAAAGAGAAAATATTCATTTATTATAAAACTTTCTTACAATGCTTTGATAACATTGATTGATAAGCACCTAACCTAAGAGCTAAAAAATGAGTATTTAATTTAACTTAAAATGGTTTTGTTGGCCCAATCTACTCATAAATTGTCTGTAGCTTGTTCAAATCATGGGAATAGAGTGTCAATCAAAAGAAAGAAGGGTGGGAATAGAACAACTTGTTGCATGGGGAAATTTAGCCCCTTCATGAATGATTGCATTCTCAATGATATCTCACTAAGCAATGCAAGTTTTATTTAAACCACATGAATATCAATCTAGCTTGCTTTAGATTAGTTAGATAATTTCTTGTGAGCCACCCCATAATTACATTCGAGTCCCTTCCATTACCAGATCTTTATAGTTTAAAAAAATAGTCAATCTCAGTCCATATTCCATAACAAACTGCTAATAGTTCATCCTGAGTTGAGTCACCACGACCAACAATAGGTCTCCAAAATAGGGCTAGTATATTTCCATTGCATTTGTGAATGCTCTCAATTCTTGAGGTTCTTTGGTTCCCAAACTACATACATCAAAGTTTAACTTGATGGTATGGGGTTCTGGAGAGGCTAGGGGATATATGTAAGGCTCCTTATTGTGGAAGAGCATGCCACAACTACCAATCATAAAAAAAGAGCATACCACAACCTACCAATTTTTCGTGACATCATCAATGGGAAAGGCAATTGGGCATTAAACACTTTCAATGATTTTACCTAAGGCTCAGTTTGGAAAGAGTACAAATACAAATACGTACAGTGCAAATACATACAAAATACAAGGTTTTGCACTTTACATATTTGTATTTGTACTCCTTCCAAACTGAGCCTAATGGCCCACCTTAGTAACAATATTATCAACGAGGGCTGCTTCATTGACTTTTCTTTGATGATTCTAACATTCCTCTCTCCCAAATGTACCACAAGATTGTTGCCCTAGTGTATCTCCACATAATTTTGTTCTTTTTTTCGCAGGGAATAGAAAAAAAGTGCTGAACAAACTACTGACATCCCTGACTAGTCCACCTGTAACTAAATGAAGGGAAAAAAAAAGAAAAACTCCCAAATGCTTTTCTAGAATTACTCCTGTAACTCTAGTCCTACATATAGATGCAGGGATCATCAATGTTTTGATCAAAGCCAAACAATTTGACTGCCTAGTCAAAGTTGATGTTTCAACTCCCAGATGCTATTTTTAAGCCATAAATTGATATCCGTAGCTAGCAAACTTTTTGCTCTTGACAAACAGATATAAACCTATTGGGTTGTTCCATATAAATGTTCTCTTCAAGGGCTTGGAACCATTTTGGATCATGGTTTTTACATCCCTCTATCATGGCTGAATTGTTTTTGCCTCCAGGTCTTGGGTCAGCGGTCAACCATGTCAGACAGGTCAAACCGTGACACGTCATCATGTATATATGCATAAATACATGTCTGTATAAATGTATATTATATAGTATTAGTAATATATAATTACATTCTGCATGTAATATATGTATATATATGTTTTATTTTAGGTATATTTTATATTTTAGTTTTTAATGTTTTTTGAGAGAAAGGTAAAGTAATTTATAAAAAAGCGAGATTTCAAAAAAACCTCTGTACAATGAGAAAAGCTAAAGTATTTTAGTTTTTAATTTTATAAATAAAAAAGCTAAAAATTGAGATTTGAGGCAAAAAGGGTGTGTTTTTGGCAAAATAATTGGGCCAAGGTGCCTTTGGCCCTTTTTTTTTGAAAAGGTAAGGTAAATTTATTAGATTAAAAACTTTAAGAGTACAAAACAGGAACCCGCAACAACAAGGCAAGCCTGAGAACCCCCCATTACAAGTACCAAATTGACTGATTTCTCAGTAACTGAGCTACATTTACGTGTTTGAATTCTGGGGTGACTGAAATCCACGATATCAGTTTACAAACAGCCATCTAACATATTTCCTCTGGCCCTCTCACTCTTTGATTAAAAATTCTGTTGTTTCTCTCGGACCAAATAGCCCAGAGCACTGCTGCCGGGATGGAAGTCCAGACCAGTCCTTGGAATGCATAGATCATAAAAAGCTACCCAAAATAAAAAAAGGATCAACCTGATTCAACAATTGAGCGCAAAGTTATGGCCTTCGGAAGTCTATGTATAAAATAGTTTGTAACCTGTGACCTGTTGTTCAGATCAAATGGGTTGACGAATCAACTGCCTGGTCAACAGTTTTGACCAACTCAAGTGAAGGTAGCACAATCCATTTGACTGATATTCTAAGGGCTAGGGAGGAGATAGCACAATCCTCTAGAGACAAAGACAGAATAAAAATGGAATGGAAACCCCCACAAGGTAGTAAAGTTAAGCTGAATTTTGATGGAAGCTCTTTGGGTAATCCTGGTATGGTAGGTATTGGTGGGGCAACTAAAAATTTGGAGGGCAGATTGCTGGTCCTTTATTCTGAGCCAGTTAGTGTGGCTAAGCTGAATTATTGGCTTTACTACAAGGTCTCAGGTTAGCTAAGCAATTGGGCAAGTGGAGGTGGAAGGGGATTCAAAAGTAATCATCTCTTGGGCAAGAAGAAACAGACATATTCCATGGACTCTCAAGAATGCTTACAGGGAAATAGAAAGGACTGAAAGAAATCTGGATGCTGAATTCAAATGGGTTAGGAGTGCAAATGGGCTAGATGACTCCCTTGCTAAACAAGGGGTAGAAAGGCAGCAATTGTTATGAGCATCTTTGTAACATAGTGTTGGTTTTAGGGCTGATGTTGTGGTCATCAAATTAAACTTGTAATGTTTTTCACACATTATTAATATAATCAAAGTTTTGTTGATAAAAAAATAGTTTTGACCAAGTCAACAATATATAAGCTATTGGTGGGTTTGAGGTTGATTTGAACCGGAATTATGGCTAGGTGATGGTTTTAACAGTTCGACCAGCCAGGTCAATGACGGTTTGCAAACACTGTCATCTATCAAATCTTATAGTCATGATATGTTGCAATTGCCATGATAGTCCTAATTGATTTTATCATGGCCATTGGAAAGAAGGTTTCCTAATAATTGATTCTCTTTTTGACTGTAACCCAAACCTAGCCTTGAAGGTTTCCACCTCCTATTGGCATCTCTCTTTCTCTTGAAGATTCACTTGCAACCAATGGGTTTTTAGTTTCTTAGGGGGATCAACAAAGTCCAGACACCATTGCTATACATGGAATCTATGTCAGCTTCAATGTCTTTCTTCTAGGACTCAAAGCACTCAATAAAGAGGTACAATCAGAAAGAAAGCACTCCCACAGCACAAAAGATTCCTATAAATAAATCTGCAACTGACCACAGTGACTCTTTAGTTCATCATTGTAAAATTGAAACTAGACCCAGGACTGAGAAAACAACTCCCTCTATCAAAAATCAGCATCAAAGCAATTCATTCTGGTTAAACAACTGCACTTTATTGTACAAAATAAAACTAATTGGTTTGGTCTTTGACATCCTTTTCAACTCTCTCCCAGAGGCTCAACAGTAGCACCTCCATTCATCTAATAATTGCCAAATTACAAGCTAGATTCTCAATTTCTCAACCAACTTTTCTCAAAACAAGATAGTGAACTCTTCTACATAAGATTTAGGAGCTATTCCTTCTTCCTTTCTCCACCATATTGAACTATCCCCCCATTAGAGCAAGCCTAATTTCTTTCCTACCTCAAATTCTTTTTCAATGACCTTACTTAAATCTGCTTTCTTATCAATTTTAGAAACTTTATCTGTTGCTATTATATCCTATTCATCTTCTTTTCCTTCACCTAATTCCTTGTTTGCTAAGCCTTTACCATCTTCATTCAGCCTATCAACCACCTTTTCTGTCATTGGCCATGTTCTGTACTTTTTCTTCTTAGGAATATTTTTTGTTGTTGTTATCTTCAATTTCTTCACTTCTTGTGTCTTGTATTTGTAAAACAAAGGGCTAAACTAATCAACTGTTTTTTTTTTTGATAAGTGGGCTAAACTAATCAACTTTGCAGTAGTGTGAATATGTTGTTAAACTTAAAGGAGAATTTCAAGCTAATACGGAAACAGTATCAAATCTCAAGGTGGTAAAAAGTGATGCTATTTTTTCCCTATAAATATGGAAGTTGACATAGTTTTGTTTTCTTTGGTTGTTTAGTGGTTAATAAAATCATGCATCTTCTGTGTTTTTGCTCATGTCATGATGGAACTATTGCACATATAATTTTTTATCCTGAATGTGCAACTTTTTCTATATGCATTTATTACTTTCACAAAATTCGTTCAGAAATGCTACTTCTGAATCATTATTTAGTTGCTCCCTGTTTTCGTGTACTGATCTACAAAATAATCAGGAACAAAACACAGAAGCGGGTCACTGCTCTTAACAGAGATCTTCCTCCAAGGAATGAACAGTTTATCTTGGACTTTGAGCAACTTCAGGGCCAGTTTCCTGTAAGTTTCAAATAAGAACTACGTCTTTGCATTTTCTGCTGCCTTTTCCGATGTCCTCAAAGCTTTTGTTTCACAGAAAAAATGATAAGAAAAACTATTTTGTTTCGCAGAAACTTTATTACTTATGAATAAGACAGTAAATTAGAAACACAGCTCCATTATTGGAGTCTCACCTCATTTTGAGCCTTAAGCTTCCTCAAGCGAGGCGCATTTTAGCGTATGCGCCACGCCTAGGTGTCCTACACGCAGCATTTTCAAAAGGCATACACCTGGTGTGCCTAGGCGTGTGCCTAATGCACCTTGTGCCTCAGCCCAGGCGTGCGCCTTTTTAAAATTTTACGCTTTTTTGCTTTTTCTGAACCTAGCGGCTGGGCCGGGGGCTCCGCCCCCATACCCCCATACCACACCCCTTGAGGCAAGCCCAAACATGTCCATTAGGGTATTAAATTCTTAATTCTCACACAAAAAAATAATGATTTTATAATTTTAATTGATTTTTAAGAAGATATTTTATTAGGATGAATGAATGAACAACATTAGCAAATAGGGGGTTCTCGGAGTTGGAGCTTTGGTGAGCGAGCGAAGCCTCAAGGGGCGTGGCACAAAGGTGGCTCGTAGAATCAGCAATGTAATATATTATACATCACATTAGCTACTTGAACTAATGCGATTGTGGAAAAAAAAGAGATTGAGGGTTTTACATGCTTGAAAATGTTTTATACATTTGATTTTATTTTTAAAATTTCATTTGAATATGTTTTACATGTTATGTTTATGTATTTTAATTTTAGATAGTAGATTTTTAAAACATTTATTTTAAAATTTAAGTTTATATTTTTTATTTATATTATGTTTAATATTTTTTGATTTTTTTTTTTAAATTTTTGGCATGTTTTTGAAAATTTTTGGCATTTTTTTTTGTATTTTTGCGCCTTGCTTCAAAAAGACACATGCCTCGCCTTGTGCCTCAGGCATAAATTGGCGCTTGTGCTTTTAAAACAGTCTTTTTTCCCTTCATATTTCCTTATCCCTCAATCTGACCTCCTAGGCAGAACCCACATACATTTCAAGTTTTCAACACTTGATGCACATTTTACCCAGCCAGGGAATCAGCAAATATATTAGCTGATCACCTAACCCACTAGAATGAGGAGTTTAAATTGCAGGCTAGGAATCTTGCTTTTCTAATACGGTATCTGAGTTCCCAAGGGTTCTCAGTCCCACTCCAACTCCAACCCCTTATTCACTCTATCCCACTTGTTTATCTCCTTTCTACCTCCATGAGAAATGTTGTTCCGAAGAAATTATGCTTACTTATTGATTATTGTGAGATCTGATTGGTTTACACATGTTTTGCAGGACCAGGAGCAATTGCGTGCTGTTACAGAATCTGTCCTGATTTCTTTGGTTGTGCAATGTAGCAGTCATGCACCACGGGCAGAATTTATTCTCTTTGCCTTAAGAAACTTGTGCAGCATAGGTTATGTAAACTGGGACTCGTTTTTGCCTTCTCTACTTTCTTCAGTATCCACTGCAGAGGCTTCAATTGGACAAGGTCAAACCATGAATTCTGTCTCATCTACATCACAGTCCGCAATGGTGGCATCATCAAGTACAATTCCTAATTCTTCTAATTTCCAGCCTTCGAACCCTGCTTCTCCTATGCCTTCCATTAATGCCATTGGATCTCCAGCCCAGTCTGCAACAGAGCCTTCATCTTTTACAACTCTGTCACCAGTTAAGTCATCCGATGTTTCCTGCACCGGGCAGCAGAACATTTCAAGATCCAATCCTTCAGTGAGAGATAATGTTATCAGCTGTCTACGTCAACTGTCCTGTAAGATTATTTTAGCTGGGCTTGAGTCCAATTTGAAACCAGTTACCCATGCTCAGATTTTCTCCCACATGCTGAATTGGTTAGCTAATTGGGATCAGAGACAACAGGGGGTCAATGAATGTGATGGGGCAAAGGCCTGGAAACCTGATAGGGTTCTTACCGAGTGGCTGCACAGTTGCTTGGATGTAATTTGGCTCTTGGTTGAGGAAGATAAGTGCCGTGTGCCCTTTTATGAATTACTTCGTAGTAATTTTCAGTTTATAGAGAATATCCCGGATGATGAAGCCTTATTTACACTTATTCTGGAGATCCATAGGAGGCGGGATATGGTGGCTATGCACATGCAAATGCTAGATCAACATCTCCATTGTCCAACATTTGGAACTCATAGGTACCTGTCTCAAGCATATCAAAGTGTTTCTGGTGAATCAGTAGCAAACATGCGGTGCTTGCCAATTACATATCCTAGTGTACTAGGAGAACCACTGCATGGGGAGGTGAGGGTTCTTTTTTCCCTCTGTTTTGATATTAAGAAATTAGCTTAGAAATGGCTATTTCTTTATTAGTAAATGGAAAGTGGTTCTTTTAATATTTAGCAAAAATGTACATGAGATGGAAAGGGTGATGAGGTAAGATCCCAACCCAAATACAACTACTAGAAAATAAAAGAAAACACTGACATGCATGATCAATTGAAAAGCTTCTGCTGATATCTCCAAAGTAGACCAAAGCACAAACTGTACAAAGATCCTGAACATTCACAATTTCTGGGTCACTAGAATTCTATCCACAATTAGATTTCCTATTTCCAGACAGTCTTTCACGACCCTTTTGATTCTCCTTGTAGATTCTTCAATCACTTTTCTTCTAAGTACTCCAACAGACAGCAAATGGAGCTGAGATCCAAAATATCTTAGCCTTCTCACTGCCTTGTATAGTATGCCATAAAGAAAAAATCTCGTTAGGATGCCTCAGTTGCTAGGGATGTCTTCTGAATACAAAAAAGAAAATCTCCATAAGAACTTGGCATAGCAGCAAGATATAAAAAATGCTTGACATCTTCTTCATGGATGTTGTACATATAAGATAACAAAATAACATAATCCTCTTCTTTTCAAGTGATCCACAGTAAGAACACAATCCAGTGCCACTAACCATGCAAAGGCTTCTTGATAAGAACCCACTAGACGACATCCTCTAGGAACTCTTGAATCAAGTTGTTATGCGCACCCAGAAGCTAGAAAACAAGCTGTAGTTGATCAGATTAGACCCTTAAGGAAACTAAGTCCTTAAAAAATCCAATATTGAAGACGCCACAAAGGTTGATCACTCCCTTGATAAGTAAAGATATTGTATTCTACCAAGAACACAAGAAGGCAAAGTTAAGTTTGCTGAAAATATCTCTATATCATTGATTGTCTCGTTTTACATAGTTGTAGCCTTTATATAGGCATGTAAACATCATTATCTTATAAGGAAACTCCTAACTAATGAGGATCCTTTTAATTTAGGAAAACAAATCTGCCTTGAAATAGGAATCCTTCTAAAAGACTACAACTAATGACAATTAAGCATGGAAAAGTCAAAGTAAACAAAACAAGATAAAAACAAGCCCAAGCCCATCAATACATCTTAGCATGCGAATTGGGCCTTTTCTTATCATGTTCATGCGCCAAGCCCATCAATACACCTTAGCATGCGGATTGGGCCTTTTCTTATCATGTCTATGCGCCTTGGTCTTATGTCTTGGATTCCAAGCTTTGTTTTTCAAGATCTAAGCCTTGCACATCGTCTTGGACATAACGATAGGTGATTATCCTTGGTGAAGCTTTGGAAGCTTCTAGAACAGTCTTAGAATCTTCTAGAACAACCTCTTTGTCATGCACTTCCATGATTAAGCCTTGTAAAGTCTCTTTCATCCTCTTTGTCCTTGCCCTAGTCATTGGACCATCGATTCCTTGCAAAAGATCTTGAGAGTATTTGGGAATATTAGTTTGAGCCATTTGGCCAGCACCTCGATCTCCATTACTTCTACCTTGGGTGGAATGGAGTTACCCCATAATGATATACCCTTAATTTGAGCATGTTCAACCTAACTATGATTTATGAATAAGAGCATTATAAAATGGCTTAACTGTGAATGATCTGAATATGAAATACTTATTTGCAAACTCCCAACTTCTTGCATCTAGCTCTTCTGAAGAAATAACCTCTTCTTCAAGCTTGTTTAACAGGACTATACGCCCCACTCCTCTGTCCAGTGACAAAGGCCTTCTAAATCTTGGCACCCTATCATTCCCCCATTTTGAGTTTACATCCACTGACCTTGATGCTGTGGTCATTATTGGTAAACCCAATAAAAATAAGTTATCTATTCCTAATCTCTTCTTTTGAAGATAAATAAAGAAGAGCATTTTATTATTGAAAAGAAGAATACAGCTTAAATGGGTGACGAGTCACCCCATCAAGCAATTACAAAAGCAAGAAAAGGCCTCACTGATCCAAAAAAACTTAAAAATACATTACCAGAGAAAAAAAACTCCAAATTAGTCATTCAAAGTGTGCCAAAAGTCAGCTCCAAAGTCTTCTTTCTTTAGGCCTTCAAATTCTGGAAGAACCAGCACCCAGCCAACAATCAAAGAACTGATTGCTGGCCCAACTTCTTCCATGCTTTTCCTCTTCTCCTTAAAAATCCTTTTGTTTCTCTCCCTGCACACCTCCCAACATACAGCAAAGAGAATACAACTCCAAATAAGTTTTGCCTTAGGATCTCCAAGTACCCTTGGCCAGCAGCCAAAAATTCCAGCAGAGTCCAATGGCGACCATACATCCACCTTGAAGAGCTTGAAGAAGTGGGACCAGATTCCTTTCACAAAACTGCATTGGACGAACAGGTGCAGAATATTCTCCTCTTCAGCAAGACACAAAAACACGTCTGTTTGGAAAAGTAATAGCCTCTTTTCTTCAAAATATCCTGTGTTAGAATGCAACCCCTTGAGAAATCAACCAAGCAAAAGCTTCCACTCTTGGGGGGACTGGTTTCCCCCAAACGCCTCTAATTGGTTCAGCCTCCACCTGGTTCCTTATCAAAGCATTATACATAATTTGATCATGAACTTCCCATCTTTACATTCTTTTCACCATTTGATATCTGAAGCCGAGGGGTCAATCTCCACTGACTAAAGCTTTACCAGCAACTCCACACACTACTCTAACTCCCTATCAAACAAAAGTCTTCTAAATTTCGGGCACCAAACCAGAGAACTATTACTAGTTTCATAGCAATTAGAGATGGACACTCCCTTCTTGCTCAGATTATACAGCCTTGGACAGATCTCACGCAACAGAATTGTTTTATTCCTAATCTCAATAGAATTATTTCAAGCTTTGAGGGGTTTGAGACAAGGGGATACCCTCTCTCCTTTATTATTTGTTTTGGTAGCAGAGGTGTTGAGCAGGCTTATGATTAAGGGAGCAGATATGGGAATAATAGAAGGATTCAAAGTGAGCAAGGAAGGGTTATCCATCACTCACCTTCAGTTTGCAGATGATACCTTAATCTTTTTGGAAACTTTAGTGGATCAGGTGCTAAAATTGAGGGCATCCTTAAATGTTTTGAAGTCCTGACAAGTTGGAAAATTAATGTAAACAAGAGTGTGATGATTGGAGTTGGAGATATCTCTTAGTCACTTTTGGAGGAATGTGTGGTATCTTTAGGGTGTCTGGTGGGTGAGTTTTCAGGACTTCCATTTGGTGCAAAAGCCTCGGTGTCTTCTACTTGGCAGCCAGTGTTAGACAGGATTGATTAGATATTGGCAGGGTGGAAAGGAAAGTATTTATCTTTTTGGGGAAGAATCACATTAGTCAAGGGTGTTTTATCTGATCTTCCAGTCTATTATCAATCATTGCTTAAAGCAAAGTTCCATCATCAGTGGCAGAGTCAACTGAGGAGATGCAAAGAGTGGAATGCAGGCATGCAAAAAAAAGTTCCATTTAGTGGAGTGAAGGATTGGGTATGCAGGGACGAAAAAGATGGGTCTAGGGATAAGGGAAGTTAGGCTATTTTGTAAAGCGTTATTTGGGGAAGTGGATATGGAGATTTGGAGTGTAAAGAAATTCTATTTGAAGGAAGGTGTTGCTTGTAAGCATGGTGTGGTGGATTTGGGTGCAATTCAAAGGAGGTGAAATCCTCATATGGGGTGCTCATGTGGAAAGGAATTATGAGCTTTCAGTCAGCATTTTTGAATTATGTCTCTTTCAAGGTAGGGGATTGGTAGATTTTGTGATTTGTGTCCAAGACTATATAGGTTGAGCTGAAAGAATATATCTATTGCTGATTTTATGAATTAATTGAGGAGTGATACAGAGTCCAAAATTCAGAAACCACTTCTTGGTTGGGAGGTTGGGGAGTGTGTGGGCCTTTTAGCAAATTCATAGTTGGTGGAGCTACAAGTAGAGAGAAGTGATGTGAGATGGTGGAAAGAAAGTAGGAATGGTGTATTCTCTGTAAAGTCTTTTTATAAAGCCCCAACAAGGAGTCAGGTGGAGAAGTTGGATGTGAGGGGGTTTTAGGGGAATCCCATTCTCCCTAGGGTGGAGGCTTTTACATGGCTAGTATCTTTGGGCAACATTCTCACCTAGGATCACATCAAACGTAGGGGAATTCAATTGGTAAGGAGGTGCTACTTATGCTTAGCTGGGGAGAATGTGATTCATCTATGCTTTTAATGCTGTTTCTCGAAGTACATATGTGGATACTTCTTTAGGCTTTTCAATCTTGATATGTGGGGAGCCAAGATCTCAAAAAGAAATGTTTGTTCATTGGTCTACCTTGAGAGGGAATATGAAAGCAAAAATTGCATGGAACTAGTTGTAAAGCTAGTGTTGTAAATCTAGGGTTTGTAGAAGAAAAGCAAAGAAAAGAAAAGAGAAGAGAGGAGAAGAAGAAGAATGTGTTGAGAGGTGTGTTTATCACTGGTTCACACCCTCAAAAACTCTTTATATTTTGAAACAAGAAAATTACAATGCAGCCCCTACTTGGGTGCCCAAATATAGAGAGAATACAAAGAGATGAGGAAAAGACTAAAAACACCATTGCCTGAACATTCTCAACACTCCCCCTCAAGCTAAGCATATATGTCAATCATGCCCAGCTTGACAAGGTTATTAGCAAACTTTGGATGGTGAATACCTTTAGTGAGGCAATTAGCTAGTTGGTCTTTTGACCTTACAAAAGGAAGGCAATTCTCTTCGCTAGCAATTTTTTCTCTAATAAAGTGTTTATCCACCTCAATATGCTTTGTACTATCATGTTGAATAGGATTGTGGGCAATATTTATGGCTGCTTGATTGCCACAAACTCACAATATAGCCTCATTGGGATATCTGCTTGGATGCCCACCTCAGTCATTAGTCTTCAACTAGAGTAGTTCATACACTTCATGAGCCATTGCCCTGTATTCTACCTCAGTACTAGAACGAGTAACTACAAATTGTT